CCATGTCTGTCGTGGATCTGGTCTTCCGGAAGCCACACTGAGTTTCCGGAAGCACAGCTTCCGAGATGTGATCAACCAGTCTGCTGAGCATGATCTTGGCCAGGACTTTCCCTGCGATGGAGAGGAGAGATATTCCTTGGCTGTTGCTGCAGACTGCACGGTCTCCTTTCTGCTTGTAAATTACCACGATGTTAGCATCCTTCCAGTCCTGTGGGAGGGTCCCATGTTCCCAGATGTTTTGGATCAGGAGGTGCAGGCGACGCGTGAGGAGGTATCCTCCGTATTTAAAAACCTCTGCAGGGATTCCATCGGGTCCAGCGCTTTTGTTGTTCTTCAGCCCTGCAATAGCTTGCCGGAGTTCTGAGTAAAGTGGTGGGGTGTCCAGGTGCATGGTAGGTGGCAGGTCTGGGAGATTATCCAGAATATGTGGGTCGACAGGGTTGACGTGGTTGAGGAGACTGTCAAAATGATTTGCCCAACGGGCAAGAATCTCGTGGCGGTCCTTAAAGAGGATGGCGCCGTCAGCTGATCGGACTGGGGCAATCACCCGCTTCCTGGGGCCGTACAATGCTTTTATGGCATCGTAAAAGCCATGACTGTTGTTGCAGTCTGCCAGGTTCTGGATTTCTCGCGCCTTTTGCAACCACCAGGTGTCCTCCATAGTCCTGAGGGCTCGCTGGGTTGCTGTTCTTGCAGCAATGAAGGAGGTTTTAAGGGTGGGAGATCCAGGGCAGGACAGGAGAGCTTTGTGGGCCTCATGTTTGGTTTTTAGGAGTGACTGTATCTCAGCTGAGTTACAGTCAAACCAGTCCTGGTGGTGTTTCCTTGATTGGCCTAGCGCCTCTGTGGCTGCGCTATGAATAGCCTGGCGCAATGCTGGCCAGTCGGTTGATTCCTCTGGGATCTTGCTGAGGTTTTCAGCAAGTAGCCGTCGGAGGTTATCTTTGGTGGTAAGGCTATTCAGCGCTGTACAGTTGAGTTTCTTGTTTGGAGCCATCCTCGGGCCACGGGGTTGAATGCTCATGAGTAGTTTGGATCTGACCATGAGGTGGTCAGTCCAGCACTCAGCTCCGCGCATAACACGGGTCGTAAGGACCTCTTGTCTGTCCTTTTGACGGACAATCACGTAGTCAAGAAGATGCCAGTGTTTTGAGCGGGGGTGCTGCCAGGTGGTCTTAAGCCTGTTCTTCATCTGGAAGACGGTGTTAGTAATGACCAGCTGGTGCTCTGCACAGAGGGAGAGGAGTCTGAGCCCGTTGTGGTTCATTTTCCCCACACCATGCTGGCCAATGACTTTATTCCATACCAGGTGCTCCGTGCCCACTCTAGCATTGAAATCTCCCATGAGTATGAGCCTGTCCGTAGCTGGGGTTTTCTGTAAGATGGCATCAAGAGCTCTGTAGAAATCCTCTTTGATGTTGTGTTCGGCATCAAGAGTTGGAGCATATGCACTGATGAGAGTGGCAAAGCGTTCCTTTGCCAGGGGAATGCGCCATGTCATCAGTCTTTCATTGATGCCGATGGGGGATTCCGGAATGCGCTGCAGCAGTTTAGACTTTACAGCAAAGCCAACTCCATGGTTACGGCGAGTGCCTTTAGGGACCCCCTTCCAGAAGAAGGTGTACCCAGCACCAACCTCTGCAAGGGAGTCCTCCCCATGCAGTCTGGTCTCGCTGAGAGCTGCTATGTCGATGTTATATTTTGCGAGCTCCAGGGCCACCAGTGCTGTCCTGCGATGGGGCCTGTCAGGAGTTTCAGCCAGGTCCAGCAGTGTGCGAACATTCCATGAAGCAATGTTTAACTTATTTTTCACTTTAATTTTTCGACCGCAAGGAGGGATGCTCCAACGGTTGCGGCTTACCGTCCGGAGTGTGGGGAGCAGACAATTTTTGGACCACCTTTTCCAGGTCCTTCCCCATCACAGGGGTGAGCAGTGTGGGGCTGCTCAGTCGCAATGGAAGCTGCCGAAAAGACGCGCTGCTCCATCCCGCAGTCCTAGCGACCATCACTCCATTGCCGCCTGTGTGCATGGTTTGGTTAGGCACTCCCAGCCACATCCTTGGCCTGTGCCCGCCACCATTCCACATCGCCACAGGACTTTTGGGGGTGGGGGTGGGGGGGAGGGGGTGGGGCAAGAAGCTTGCGCATAGGTGAGGATTAAGGTGAGGGTGTGGGTGCGCAGACCTCACTCCCACCATCTTCACTCCTATCAGATGATCTCCAGTGGCATGAGAGAACCCATGACGACCTTCGTCTGGCAGGAGTTGCAGGGGGCTGCCGGTGGTCCGGTCAGTTGGACTCCGCCTGTGCCTGTCCCCAGGTGCAGGTTTGTCTTCGGGGTTTGCTCCCCTAGCCACTGTACCCTCCCGAGTTAACCCACGTGGCTTAGGGTTACCTTCTTCCGCCTTCCCAGCCGTTGTGGTGGTGCTCACATCACCATCTTCCGCCTGCGCCGCCGTTGAGTTCTTCACTGTTTACCCATAGCTGGGGCTATTTACCCATAGCTGGGACAGAGGTTGACGGGCATCAGGGCGTTTCCACTCACCGATGGGCCTGCATGCCGCGTCTCTGGGGCCCACTGCTGCTCCGAGATCCCGTACAACTTAGCCTGGAACCACAGGGGACCAGTTACCATGTGTGCCGCGGGGAGGCGTGTACGAGATCTTGGCAATGGAGAGGCTATGTACCGGCTGAGGAGGCTTACACACTCGGCTCCTCTTTTCGCCCCTGAAAACAGAAGGCTATCCGGTGGCAGTAGCTGAAAGCAGAAAGTAGCAAGCAGAAGCAGCATGCAGCATGCACTAGCTACAAGCACTACTACTCCAACACTGCTGCACTGACGCATCACACGCCCTGTGTGCACTGCACACACACACACACACACACACACACACGCACACAAAAACTTTTCTGGACCTATGTAACAATGTAACAAATTTGCATAATGCCAGTCTATGGTCTTCATTGGCTTGGATTATGTAAATTGTGGCGCATCGCAGCTAGTGCAAGACGAGCAGCTGCGGTTAAAAAGTATATAAATGTTTGTTTGTTTTTAGAAAATGACGTTTCTCTAGATAAGACCCTTTTCCTCGACTGAGATCGTGTAGAGCCCTTTGAAGCTGCATTGAAACTGCAATTTCGACCATCAAACAGTTGACATCAAACAGTACGAGTGAATCATTTTAAACTCTTTGAGAAAATAGGTAAAGTGCAATGTATATTATGATATTTATTTATTTATTTATTTATTTATTTTTTACCTTGGATGCATGTAAAATTATTGTGAGAGGCACAATTAGTAACCTTTAAAATATCACAATAGGGGTGCTTCAATTATTTTATTTTATTTATTTATTTTTTGCAACAAGTAGAATCAACCATCACATCCTCGCCTTACCTTACTCCCAGAACTTTTTGACTTGATTCGATTTCAGATTTGATTCGAAGGATGGATTCCAAACTAATATTTCCAATTTTTATTGATTAATGAGTTGTGTGTGACAGAATATGTGTGATTTTTAAGGACTGTTTAAACCAGTGTGGGCCAGTAGCATCACTACAAATACTGAAACTTGAACTGATAATGAAAAGTTGAATTGTGAAAATAACACGTCAAGTTGTGAAAAATGTGATTCATTTTGGCACCTCAATGGTACTGTCGCCTCTGAACAGGAAGGTCCCACCCAGACTGAGACGCTGCGACAGGCAACCCTACAAAGGACAGGTGGCTTGGAAAATGGATGGATGGCATATTCATTGTTCATGAAGTCATAATGAAGTCATAATTTCATTCCATAGTGCTCAATTTAATACAAAAAGATGTACATATTTTAATTAAAGCAAGACAATACAAATATATAAACCTAATTAAATCAAAAACAGTCAAGTTGCTAACACTGAACAATTGATGCCTGGATTAGCTTTTTCTGATAGTAAATGGTTATTTGCGCTACTGTTAAATTGGCTCTTCTGAAGACTTAATTACCTGGGGTGACTCGACTTCAAACTTTGGACTCGACTCTCAATTCTGAATGCCTCGGAATTAAAATCGCTTATTTTTTTTGGAATCGAGTCCAACCCTACTTCATATTTTCTAGCAGAAAATTCACTAACCCAATGTAAGATGCCCATGTGCGAGAAAATTGGGGTTGTCTGAACTAATCAAATACAAATTACATTTGTTTGTTTGTTTGTTTGTTTTTAAAGCCTATAAAATACAAACAGTATTTTGTATTTCAAACACACACAAACACACGCACACGCGCATACACACGCGCGCGCACACACACACACACACACACACACACACACACACACACACACACACACACACACACACACACACTACTGTTCAAAAGCTTGGGGTCATCATTTTTTTTATTGTTTTTTTAAAATGGAGAATATTATGCCTGTTAAGGCTGCATTTATCAACATACAGTAACATTTTTAAAATATTATTACAATTAAAAAAAAAAGTCAGTGTCATTACTCATCATTGCAAACCATCATTCCAATACGCTGATTCATTGCTCAGGAAACATTTCTTATTACCAGCAGTATGAAACACAAGTATTAATTTGAGGAACCAAAATTATTTTTTGATGAAAGGAATGTTCAAAAGTTTATTTTGAAATAGAAATCTTTTGTAACATTATGGTCTGTATGACAATTTGGTCAAATTAATGAATGCTTGCTGAATAAAAGTATTATTTAAAAAAAAAATTACTGTTCCTAAACTGTTATGAACCTTTTGCCAAGGCCATTGTGAGTATACTTGAAGAGGTACAGTACATTGACTCTTAGTTTCCCTTTGTATTTATACAAGTCTTTAAGTCTTTACAAACAGAGCTAATATTTGACTTGGATATGCTTTATTTCTCTGGTATCGGCCACAGGTGTATTTGTCATGTTGCATATGGTTTTACAATATGACCCCCAAACCAGCAATGTCAGGTAGCCACAAATAACAGTTGAATGTATATAGAGTAAGAGTGACTTACCAATGCAGAAACAGCACACAGCAAAACTAAAGTCAAAACTCCTTCCATGATCAACCCGGTATGTAGTCAAAGTAAAAAGCTTTTCTAATTAACCCTTGCATTCAAAAATTGTTTCCGAAAGAACTAGTCAAGCCTGTTGGCTTTACAGCGTTCACACTTGACAGCTTGTGTTTATTTAGTCTCTAAACTCTTGGTTTCTGTCGCTTCTCTCTGCCTCTGTTCCTTCTCTGCTGACTGATAATGACCTGTTTTATTGCCACTTCTCCTTTTTCTCATGACGGGAAAACAATGTACAACAACCTTTGTCCTACCTTTAACCAAAGTTCTTCCTTATTTTAAAACTCCTCCTTTTTATTATTTCCCAACAATTTAAAACTCACTTGTTCTCTCTTTTTAAATGCCCCTCACCCTCCCCTATGCTTTATTGTTAAGTTTGGTCTTCCTCTTTCACTTATTTTACTTTTTTGTTTGTTTTATTCAAAAAAAAATATTTTCTTTTTTTGGGGATATACTTTCTTACCTAAATGAACCAAAGGAAATGCAAAAAAGGAATACAATTGAGTTGTGATCACTTAGTGTTTTTAGTTTTCTCCTTTGGATGAATGGTACACGCTGTGGATTGGCAAGTTAACAAAAGAATCTAGAATCCTCTCAAATGATCAAACTCAGACAAGTACCCTATTATTCTTGCCTTTATTATAATAACAACAGACAAACATCAAGGCTTTAGTTACATAGCTGAGTTGGGTGTGTCTTATCTGATAATGTTCACATCATGTGTGAACACAGGGAGTATTTATATCTAACCTATACCTGAGTATTTTTTTCCCTGATGATGTAAATCACACTTAATACATATATGAAATGTATATCAACCTCCCTTAAATGTAAACTGTCTGTAGTCTAATAAGATGTGGAGGAAATGAAGTGTGTAGGGTTTAGTTTACTTTTAATTATAAGCCAACACAGGAGGAGCGCTGTCAGCACTAATGTAATTGTTTCCCACTCTGTTTTTTTTTCTCACTTTATTTTGTTCCACTTTAGACATTCACAAGTACCTTTGCAACTACATGTCAACTAACTTGTATTATATGTCAACTAACTCCCAGAGTATTAATAGACTGTTAGGCGTAGGGTTAGTAAGTAGAACTGAAAAGTTACTTAGAATGTCTAAAGTGGACCATCGAAATAAAGTTACCTTTTTTGCCAAACATTATGTGTGAAAGTGTGATGCTGAATTATATAGCTGCATAAGGACAAACAAACAAACAAACAACAGGCAGCGAACAAGAAAAGTTTAACCATTATTACTTGTTTAGACAAAATTCTGCTATATATTTTAATTGGAAAGGAAAGCATTGCAGACATGACGCATATTTGTCAAAAGCAGCGCAACAGGTTCTTCCTCTAAAAACAAACACCTGCCTTGCATCCTTCCACTGTACTGATGTCATTATGATCAACACAACACTTGTTTAGTCAACTGGCACTTTCCACGAATAGAGTAGAAATTGGTGTCCTATTTCATTTTAAAGCAATACAGGTGCGCACAAATCCCTTGTTCTTTGGAAAAGAATTAGTATAATCCACCATAAAAATAACATGACAAATTTCTAGGTTTAAATTGACAATCACTGTAATAATAATAATTATTTAAAAAAAAAAATTCCACCAGCTAATATTTAGGTGGCATTTACATGACACTGTTTTCAAAAATAAGAAAGAAAAGCTTTTTTAGGGGTTTTGGCGTTGTAAGGACTGGGCCAGGGTGAATCTGAATAACTAAATACCTTCGTGCTAAAATCCCAAAGCCTTTAGCCCCAAAAGGCCTGGAACTTGAAAAAACACACACAAACACACACACACACACACACACACACACCTCCCCCACAGCTGACACCCACACTCAGGACAGAGCGTGGTTTCCTGTTACGAGACACTTGTATGACTGACTTGGAATTTGATGTTCAAAGAGAAAGAAACTTCTTTTCTTTAAAAGACATTTAACCCGATATATTCTATGTGTTTTTATGTGTGTCCATTTGCCCATGTCACATTGTAATGACTATAATTTGTCCGTAACTTAAAAGTGAATTATAAATACCCTAGGTGTATTTTTAATGTAAATGTTTACCTATAACAGTCGTGTTTGATATCGTAAAAATGCCCTTGACTTGACTCAGCCAGATATATGTATGAACACACCGTAAAAGGTATGATTATGTGCATAACACATCTCTGCAGTAGAAATGACCCTTCCTAACACAGGTCATAATTTAATTAGACAAGCAGTCTGACAAGACAAAGAGAAATAAAACCCAAAGTCCCGCCTGTAAACTTCCAACCCTCTAATTGGCCAAGCCAACAGGAAGAGGCTGGATTTCTCATAGTGTGATAAATGACGCTTCTCCCCTGCGCTCGCTCTCTTCCTGCCGTGTCATGATGTAACGTCTCGCCTCCGGGCGAGCTCTTCGCCTTTCTTTTATTTGTTTCTAGTTTAGTTTGTGTTTTTCAGTTGTAGATAAGTCTCTGTGTTTAATTCCAATCGACGATTGAAAAGAAAACCCTGTGACATATCTCTTCAGCAAATCCATCTACGAGGGACCTTTAAACGAGCGCGCGCTCTCTTTGAAGGAGAAACACGCGCACGTGACCACGTGACGCGCACGGACCGAGAGACACACACGCTTCTTCAAAAGCCATGGAAAGATGCAACGTTAACTCCGCGTGATTTCCCCGTAGAGATCTTTATTCCCTTTTTGTTAGTCAAAGTTTTGTTTTCCGTAGCCGACTCAGTTCACTTCCACGAAGTGAAACGAACCTAGCCGAACTATTTCCCTTTGGAAATGTTACAACAAAGACTGTAAACCTCCGTTCAACACGCGCGCCACGCAGCCCACGTGACGCTTCCTCACACCCAAAGGACTCAGCTCACGCGGCCAGACAGGGCCGTACAGGAATGTTTCGGCACAGTCAGAGAGAAACCATAACATACGTTGATTGCAAGTATAAATCTCTTTATAGAGCTTCTAAGAAGTTTTAAGATGATGTTCCGTGTTGTAATCGGAGAGGTGAATGTCTTCCTGCCAATGAAATTCTCCCAATTTCTCTGTTCTCTCTCTCCCCATCCCCTTTCCTCTCTCTCTTACTCGCTCACGCGTGTACGTTATCCATTGTCCAAACTTTATGCATTTCTCGTTCATTGATGTCTTATTGTATTGTTCATTGTTGTCTATGTGTTTGTAAATACATATATCCCATGTAACCGTAGTAAATACATAAGTAGTCATGCCTTTATTAAATCCATTATATTCATTTTGATTGATGTTACTGTGTCTGCTCATACTCCAGGTCTCTGAAATGAATAGATCAAGCTACGGCTTTGCTTTATAAAATAAAAATACTTTTAAAGAGTATGTGTTTATAGGGCAGAAAACCCAGTTCTTCTGGCCAGAGAATTGCGTTTCCTGAAATCCTATGAAGTAAGATGATATGTGGGATTCCCCCAATATTAATCTGACAATTGAGCTAATTAAATTTTACCTGTCTGTAAAACGTGATCTATGCAATCAACTTGTAGTTAAAATGCAAGGATACACGTATGCATGCAGGTAAAGTGATAGATCCTCCCTTAGAGGGAGAGTAAATTCAATGTAAGATTGATCTAATCCAAACATGTATGAATAATTATTAATTACCAATTATTAATTAATTTATGCAAATTCCCCACGGATTAGATCCGCCCTGAATCCTTAAAAAATGGTGGAGAAAATGCTAAGCACATTTTAAACTTGTTTTATGAGCAAAATCAGTTTTCAATCTATGTCTATATTGTGATTTAATATTGTACGTGCGCCTCGAGTGAGCGAACGCAATGCGAACTCACCGCTGCAAAATAATGTCTGACATTCCGTTTGCCATTGTTAATAACTAAAATAAACTGCAGTTCATAGTATTAAATTTGTCCCACAAAAGACGAAGAAACCTCTTTTGAACGACGACATTTTTAATGTTAAACTCCCCTGTCCGAACGATGTTCTTCTGTCAGGGTGAAGACAAGATTTAGTGAAACGATGCTCTTTCACTATTCTTAAAAAGGCCTTATTTTATAATCGTTAGATTAACGATAAAAACTCCTGGTTAAAACATTGACTTAGCTACTCAATTGTAAAAAACCGAAAAGCATATTATCACAAGTGCTATTTGATATATGCTTGGAGTCGAAAACAGATGAATAATTCCTGTTTCCTTTTGCACGACGCAGCGAAGAAAACCTGCTAACGTGTTCAATGAATATAGCACCGATAAAATCCAAAACTGAAAACATTTTTAATCAATGCTATTTGACATATGTTATGGGAGTCGAAAAACAGATGAATAATTCCTGTTTTCTCTCGCACAACGCAGCGACGAATCCTGCTAGATGTGCTTGTAAAACATAGCACCGAAAAAAAAAAAATCCAACACTGAAAACATTTTTCATCATATATGCTATTTGATAAATGTTATTTGGAGTTGAAAAACAGATGAATAATTCCTGTTTCCTTTTGCACGACGCAGCGAAGAAAACCTGCCAATGTGTTTAAAATAAGTATAGCACCGGAAAGAAATCCGTCGAGATTTAAATGAGACAGTGCATGTCCCCCGAGACAATCGAAAGCGGGCTGGTTGCCATACTACTGCCAAACGCTAGGGTGCGCCCTTGAGTGTTTTCCAGTATCAGATTGCCTCCACGCCCTCCATGAGCGCAATAGCGCCATCGTGTGGACACTAGCGGTAAAGCGTCTTTTCTTCAATTTTCTCTTCCCACAACTTCAAAGTTTACCAGTGAGATTTTGAACTCGTGTGTCTAACTTTCAATGCATGGCAATTTACAGCCTCGTTCACTAACATGATTTTCCCTGCCTTGACTGTGTGCACTTGTTTTGGATTTTGGTTCAAACCAAATTTGAACTTAAAAATTCAAAACTATGTCTTAGCAGTTTCTGATGACCGCTCTGTGTTGAAATGGCTTTCTCCCAGTTGATCTTGTGTTGGATACTACCACTGACACCTCACTGTGGTCGTGATCATCAAATATAAGGCCAACCCTTAATTTCCTACACTTATTCAAATTTGGTTTGAAACAAACCGATTTCAAGGTTAATTTGAATTAAGTCTCATTGCCCGTTGGGAATTGTTTTATGGCTTTTTCTATATTTCCCTTTTCAAATTATTTTTAATAATTTTGATTTGATTTTATTACAACTGTCTCCTTGCTGTTCTAGAAGTTACTTAACATCTATGAATACGCTTGAT